CCTCTGATTGGGATACTAAATTTTTAAGTCATTTTTGGAGAACACTTTGGTTAAAATTAGTAACTACTCTTCAATTCAGTAGTGCATATCACCCACAAACAGATGAGCAAACTGAAGTTGTAAGCAGAAGTTTAGGAAACTTGCTTAGATGTCTTGCTGGTGAGAAACCTTCTCAATGGGATTTGATTTTACCCGAAGCTGAATTTGCTTACAATAATTCTATTAAACGATCTATTGGAAAGGCCCCTTTTGAAATCATTTATGGCCAACCTATTCCTCATATTTTAGATCGAACTTGTTTACATATGCCTAATAAGATTAGTGTTGAAGCTATAGAAATTGTTGATCAAATTAAATTGATCCAACATCAAGTCCTTGAAAAACTCCGAATGGCAAATACTAAGTACAAAACTGTTGCTGACAAACACCGAAGAGTGTTATTTTCAAGAAGTGATCTAGTTATGGCTTATGTTCGACGACAACGCTTTCCTGTTGGAACTTTTGGCAAGTTTAGCCGGAAAAAATTTGGGCCTTTTCAGATACTTCGAAAATTGGAAACAAATGCTTACTGGATCTTCCACTTTCTATTGGAACTTCACCTTATTTAATGTTATTGACCTTATTTTATATGATGAAAATCCAACTGATTCTGTGGATTTAGAGACCTTACCAGTTACCAGTCCAGTTCAGGCCAAAGATGATCATAATGAAGATGTTTTAGACATCAAGACTACCCAGACCAGACATGGAGTGCATAAGCTGTTCTTGGTAAAATGGAGTGGACGTCTGTTGACTGATTGTACTTGGATTGAAGCGGTGGAACTTCAATCTTGCCGTCCTTATATCTATCATCGCATTAGTGAAGCATTCTCATTAGGAGATGAGATTTTCCCACCTGGGGCGAATTGATGCATTCAGTTTTTCATGATCATGTTTTTTTATGTTATTATAATTTTTGAATTTTTTTTGTTTACCCAATGATAAAAAGCAACCGATGATCATGTGTGGTTTAGGTGCTCATTGGACATGTTTTCCTTTGGTGTGCTAGCTTCTTTGGGTGCTTGTATTTGAGCTGACTTGGGTTTGTTGGTGGGCGGCTGAGCTGTTGCTTGGCTTTGGTTGTTCGGTTCCTGCTCTCTGGCTTTCCCAGTTCCCCTTGCTTTGGCTTTTCGGGTGGGGGTTCAACCTTGCCTTAATGCTGCCTTTTTCTTCCCTTTTTGATTGGTTTTAAGGGGAGGCTGTTGATGGTTGTTGGCCTCCTTTTCTTTCCTATTTATAGGGGAGTTTTGGGCTATTGTGAGAAGTTTTTTGGAAGTGAAAACAAAGTAAAAACCTAAGGGTTTCTTCTCTAGATTGAGAGCTACTTATTTACTTATTGTTTCTTCTTCCAAGTCTTCTAACCTCTTTCTTCTCTTCACAAATTTCCACCCCAATGTATCCTTCTAAAATTGAGAGTGGTGTTGGTTGGTAAGTTTTGTTAGGATTTGTCGGAGAAGTTGTGGCAGACTTTGGACTGGATCAAAGTAGCTGTGATGGACCACTGGTTTGCATGTCCTTGAGCATTCTATTTATCTAATTTATCGTTTCATGTGAGGTGACCAGTATCTGGTTGTTCTGAGGGTAGTTTCTTTTGGTTTTCTTTCTTTTTATAAAACAATTTCAATTTTTTAATGTTATATGGTGATTTGCTTACTAAAGTTTTGGATCGAGCTGTGTTCTACTTTCTTTTGTGTTCTCCATTGGGTTTTAAATTTGCTAGTTCCCATCACCAATGTACAAATGTACTATGCAAGTGTACGACACAAGTATATCATAACTGTATGTAGTTAGGAATGAGTAGACATGTTGCAGACATCCTCACCTAACATATGAATGTACCAGATACATATACATTACTACATACAAGATACACATTACAACATGCAAACATATCATGCATGATGCAAATATGTATACCAACACACAGATTGATACATGAGTGTGTATGCATAACATGCAGATGTGTCGTATACATTCATTTCATTGCATATAAATAACTACCACATAAATACATCATGCAAAATGTATTCAATAGCATATACCCGCATGGGCCCTGACGAGCGATATATACACATATGTGATGTCTGAAGATGTTGCGCGGGTTAAGAATTGAACCTAAGTTTGAGCCCAATCATTCTATGTGAATATATAGGAGTCGACACGGCTCGAATTGTCAAATAAATATACGGTCGTAGCGCCGACCAGGATATCTGTTTTATACGTTCATATTAGACCTTCAAGGTCTATTACAAGAAGAATTCACTAATAAAGGTGTAAAGTCGACGACGAATCCGATCCTCTCATGTAGATAGAGTCGACAAGATTCGACCAACAAAATGAAATTGCCCATAAATATCCCGATGATGGTCGTCTTAATAGAAAATTTCAACCAGAGGGGATTCTACCTTTCCAGACATTCAAAATGCATCCAAATTTTCATAAAATACATTCAATTGATTTTAACGTATTAATGAATGATATTAATGTTTAAAACTGAAATAAAACACATAAATACTTAAAGCTAAATATTCATCCATCATCCACAACAGTTTGCCGAGGTGGACAAGCTTCAAAATCACTTCAGCTCACAAAGAGCAAATTTCTGATCAAGATTATCACTAAGATTCATTCTTAATCTGTCTCTTGTCAGTAAGGACGTCGTATGTGTCCTCTAATCGATGGTTTCACTGCCAAATGACACCACAGGTAAACGATTATGACGGAGACACTCTGACCGAGTGTTTTTGCCTCCAAATGACACCATTAAATTACAATTATGGTTAAAGCCTGTATATTCCCAGCAATGTTAAATCCTTGAGTAATGAATTAGTTGGATATGACTAATAGGGCATAAAGCCTTTTGTTAGCTATGGTTTCTTCAAATTTTTCTCCTTAAGCAAAAATCCATCCCAGGTTTATAAGGTATCCTTAGATGAATTAACCCATAGCTGTCGACAAGGATCCTTTTATCAGGTTGGGTCGACTACCTCTTATTATGACTAAGTATAATAGGGATGATGATGACCTGGGATGGAACCATGGGATTCTGATCGGGCCTATTATCATTTCCTCCACCATTTCTTTAAGTTTGTGGTGACATAAATTTTAATTTTCAAATAGTAAATTATGTTGCTACTATATGTTAGATACTATGTATCTATTTGATAACTAGCCTTAATAGAAAGTTCTCTCTCGCTATCGAGAGGGGTTATTAACTATAGGGGCTTGTGCCTATAGGAAATTTGAACTCTCTGTGTAATATCTTATTCAAAACCTAATCTGCCTTCTAAAAATTTTCCTCGAAACATACTCGTTAAAACTTTCCTCGACAACCTGAAGAAAAAAAAAGGTGCCACGGAGAGGCCGGGGCGTGAATTTTGAAGCCTACAATATTATTGCATTGATGTTATTTGTCATGTGTAAATTTATGATGCTTTTTTAAATTTGGGGACTTCTGAGGATTACACACTTGCACTAGACCCCATACCAATAGAAGGAGAATATTTTTCTAAATTAAGTAATCAAACTTGCACCACATTTAAAAAATCAACATACCATCAAGCTTAGAAGATTGAAAAGTTTGAGAATTTTACAAAGTAAAATATGAGTTCATTACATGGCTCAGATTGCACATACAAGCATTTATTTTCCATCTTTGAGTTGACAGTTTTAAAGATCCCAATCGCGTATCAAACTTGTTGGAGATTTTTTTTTGATTGCACAACATGGGAGCAGAATAACTTTCAGTTATTCCGAGTTATTCCTTAATAAAACCATATTGATTACGTGATGCTAAAGGCATCAGGTAAGCACGAAAAAAGAAAAAAAAAAAAAAAAAAAAAAAAACCAGGATAAGCATGAAAATTGGAATCAATAGATATCATGGTAGTAACCGAACATGGGAATTTCCAGGCATCGGATGGTTGAAACTTGAATGATTAGGATAAAACTGAATTCAAAGCTTAGAGAAGTCTTCTAATTGCAAACCAGTGATTGATGCTGAACTAACCAGCACAACAACCAATGCAAACCAAAGAATCAAACATTAGATTATACATCTCATTCTCACAAATAGTAATCATTATAGGCATGTTTTCATAAATGACTTAAAAAATACCACCTAATAGAAAAATTGAAGTAAAGCAAACCTCAAATAAACAATACATGCACTTTCATTGATTGTATACCTTCAAATGTCTATCAAGCTGTCGCAGAATTATGGTATATTATTAAGGATATAGTACTTTATCTCGTCAGCCTATTTTTTAGAATCAAGTTGAAGTAAACATTTTATATTACTATTTATATTGCTTCTTTACAATGCCTTACTAACTAGTAAAGGTTCTCTTCTTTACTTGATCAAGAAAATATGGCTCACCATAGCAGCAGGTGTACTCCACTTACCATTTGGATTATTATGGTATCTTTGGCAATCTGTATCGTTGAGAATTATGCTGTTCACAAATCACTGGACTAGGAAATGCATATTTAGGGCTATCCATATGCTGAAAATTTATAAATTCACTGTTGAAATTACACACAGCTTGAACGCAAAACATCTGGACTTCCATAGATTACTTGCTATTAACTTTTGCCTGGATTCGGTGGTTTGCTGTTTGTAGATTGGAAAGAGATCAAATACTGATAACAGCGCTGGTAGTATCTTTATTTCTCTCAGGCAACTTCTTAGAAACTAAACATAATAAACTTTACAAATAAGCAGTAATCGTCTGATAATATTTGTTCCACAAATTCAATTTTGTAGGCAGTGTTTTACTTATTATTGTTGCTTAGAAGTATTTCTTTGCATCCTTGCCAAATTGCCTAAGATACATATCAGAGTATGCATTGCTTCCTTGTGGAGTTTCTGTGATTGGCTTAAAGGTTCATCTATTTGTCTACTTATTGTGCCGAGTAGGTGCTAGCAAACTTTTGAAGTATATTCGCTTTTCAACATATAGGAATAAACAGTTTGCTGTGGTGGAAAACCCTGGTCTTTGGAACTGGACATTCACCTTGAAGGATGAAAATGATAATGTGCTCGCTCAGATCGATCGGGACTGGAGGGGGTTTGGCTTTGAGGTTTTTTCTTACTCTTACCTATAAATTGAATTCCATGTAGAGAGCTAGTGAATATCTGATTTAAAGCATATTACTGCCTATACTCTCACTTGTGATTTCTATCTTTGGAAGAAGGAGCATACCACTTGAGCTAGTGCGTTTTGCGTACTCCATTACGATTGCTGTTAACTTCATGCCAACCATCTGTTTTTTCTTTAAATGGAAAATTCAAATATTTATTTTAGTTTTGATTTTCAGTAACATTTGAGCATCATCTTCTCATCTAATTGGACGAGCACATTAATTATTTAATGAAAGTGAAAGTGGAAACTATTTTCTTTTCACAGCTTTTCACTGATGCTGGTCAGTATGTGATTCGATTTGGTAATGCCTACTCAATTCCAAAGATTGGCCTTGCTTCAGTTGTAAGTGTCTTCAAGTGCTCTCCATAGAAATTAAGTCAGATCACAGGGCACTTCTTCACTTCTTTTCTGATAAGTTCTTATTATTTTCTAGGTACAAGAATTAGACGTTAAGCGTCCATTAACTCTGTCAGAAAGAGCTGTCACCGTTGCGCTTGCGATTTCTCTAGACAACGACTTTTTCTCACGAACTGGTGGTGGCTGGTAAGCTTTTTAGAAAATTCTTTTTTACTCAAACTTTTTTGACCTCCAATTTATTCATGCCATCCTTGAGAAAACATGCTTCCTTGCTGCTGCTTTTTATTTTTTAAATTACAATTTTTAGCAAATTTTCATTAATCTAGTTTTTAATAAGCTTTCATTTACTAATTTATTGTGATGAATTTCCTTGAGGAGCATAACTTCTTGATGCCAATTAGTTTAAAGCTACATTTCATGACTCTGATATTGTTGAAGTTCTTGTTAATAGGGGTTTACTATTTCGCACATTCCTGATGTTGAATAGAGTTGAAAATGGTAAAACTTAAAGAACATATATGTTGTTTTCCATTTTAAAGTTAGCTTTAGAAGAGAGCTATTTAAAGCGTTGCTTTAGCGTCATCTGGCTATGATCTTCAAAATTCAAATAGATTTTCAAATTCATGATTTAATAGTCTAAGTTTTAAAGGTGTTTGAGTTGGTTTTATCATTCTTAGGGAAGGTATCTGAGGTAGTCTATCATATTTATTGTTTTATGTTTGTTATGGTGACGGTGAAGGAAGATTGGTTTCACGTGATGGGATACAAGCCCTCTTTAGAATTTAAGCTGTGAACAAATGTAGTGCTAGTGAATTTTATTACTGTGCAGATCACTATTTGGCATGCTCCTCAAAACAGTCATCTTCAATTTTGGTGAATCAAGTGAATTATAGGTCAGTAGTTGATTAATGTGGTTGGAGTAGCTCCAGTGGATGATAAGATTAGAGAGAGTCGCATTAGATGGTTTGGTCATATAAAATGACAGCCTCTCGATGAGCCGGTTAGGAAAGTCGATATGTGAGATTTGGCTTATATTAAGAAAGACAGAGGTAGGCCTAAAAGACTTGGTTAGAAAGTATTTGAAATGACATTTCTTTATTAGATTTAGATTAGAATTTGACTCTTAACAGGACACAATGGAGATAAAGGATTCATATAGCGGACCCCACGTAGTGGGATAAAGACTTGATATTGTTGTTTTGTAGTTGATTAATTTGGTTAAATCACGCGGCAATGGCACATTTACAAGTTACCGTTTATTTTTTAATCAAGTACTAGATTATATCAAAGTCAGAGAGTAGATTATATCAAAGTCAGAGAGCTTATCATCTGCTATGTGCTGCTAATAGTATTAGCCGCAGAGGTACCCAAACTCGCACATAATACTTACAGTGCCCAGCTGATAATTGATGATTCTCTTTCAGGGGACTACCCATCATTGTTGCTGGTGAATAGGAGAAGATGAATATGGCCGAGGATGCTCGAGATTTTTTGTCTTCTTAAAATGGTTTGATTGTTTATGTTAAAGCTCATAAATCAGTATATTGCGTTTTTCAGTTTCTTGTTTTTGATGATTCAACTTCTTTCCTAATAAATTTTTACTCCCAACAAGCAATTATTCTAGATTTAATCGTTACAGTTCTAATTTTTCAGTCTGACTGCCATTATGGGCCTATTAGGTCTAATATCAATAATGCTATTTTAGGTGTAATAATTTGATAAACTCAATGTGAGCGCTTCAGCATTGGCTGTTGCGGGCTGAGATTCTCACTAGTATTGCATAATTTATGGATTTGAAATAGCTGTTTTTCTGCTTTAGTTGATCCTGTTGGCTTCATGCAATCATTTTAGGCTTCATTCGGGATGGTTTTCTTATTGCTTCTTAAAATCACTTTTTAGTAAAAAATTTTATTTTGTGTGCTAAAAAACTGCTTCAAGAAGCAGAAAGAAAGTCGTCCCAAATGAAGCCTTAGTTTGATCAAAATAGACGATCAAGTGTTTTCACAGGAGTTTAAACTTTTATTTATGGTGGAATTCAAATCAATTTTAAATTATGTTTGCAGAGTATCACTCATTAATCAATTTAAAATAAATGGTGAAGATGTTAGCAAAGAAAAGTTATGGAGAAACGTTTTCGTATTTTGAATCTATGTTTTGAGTTCATTGATATCACCATTGAAGAACTTAATGATTTAGAAACCATGGGTGCTGAGCAATTATTGTTTCCTTTTAAGCTTTGCATAAGACAACCTAATAAACTTTATGAAGAATGTTTACCTTGAAAAAGTTTTCCAAAGGAGATAGCTTCATGAGCCATTAAGCCACTTGAACTTATAAGCACTGATGTTCATTGCCTTATTTTGTCGATGTCATTTGGTGAAAATAAATATTTTTTCTTGAACAATGTTGGTGTATTTGTTGAAGGAGAAATTAGAGATGTTTGACAATTTCAAGTTGTTCAAAGTTCTTATTGAAAAAGAATGTGGGCTTGACATTAAATCCATGTTTAAAAAGGCGAAATCGAGAATTAAGATGTTTTCTCTTAATGAGGTGAGGTGTACGTCTCAAAATAGAAAAATAAAAAATATATGAATTCATAAATAATTCATAAAAAAGACAAAAATAAAATAAACATCAACATATTTATTTGATTTATCATCATAAAGATATAAAATATAAATATCAATATTAAATGTTTTTATAAACTAAAAGTTTGAAATAAGATTTAAAATAAACACTCATTTAAAATTTAAATATGCTCGTGTTGGCCTCATCATTACTTCCATATTCTTCATAATACATTCATATGTAACAATTATATCATCTGTCTTATTATCATCTTCTGGATCTTCTTCAATTATAACATTTTTTTTTTAATCTTGCCATATTTATTAGGATTAATGAATTGTATTATGGAATACCACACTTTATGAACATGGAACTAATGTGATTTAAACGATCCCATTTTTCAAGGTTTTGTTTATCCTTACTAAAACCCTTATTTGTAGTAATTAAGTTTTGGCAATAAATTAGAACATCTTATAATTTTATATATTTGTCACCATATGTGTGGATGTAATTTGGCGAAATATTAACCATCCAATGAGCCAATCAATATTTGCATGAATTACATTCATACAATAATCTTAACATTTCAAAAATATTAATTTATACAAAAGAATTTACATTGGTAATATATTTCTTCAATTAACATATTTTAGAATGTTAGATATCTAAAAAAATAATTTAAAAAGATTGAATTTGCATGAAATTTTGATATATGTTTAATTACTCTTTAATTATTATAATGTGATGATATATGTACATATGTGAGTAAATTATATCAGTTGGGAGCCATAAGAGACAAAAATTCTTTGAGATTTTGTCTATGTCATGGAGTTGCTGGTAGTTGTAAGAGTTTAGAATCCTTTGAGATTTTGTTTGAGATAGGGATATGTGATATATTTTGGTGATATAAGCACAAATGAAAAGAGAGTTATATGGGGCCAGAATCCTTTTAGATTCTGTCTGGATCCAGAAAATATGATATGAACTACTCTGTGATATGAATTTCAATTTATTTACTTGTTCAGTAATGTTATTTACATCAAGTAATAACTATTATATATTTAATACATCTCTCAATATAGTAATTTATTTATTGAATTGTATTTAACTGCTTTTAAATATTCAGTAAAATATTTGATAAAAGAATATTATAAAATTTAGATTAGTTTGTGTGGCTTGCTGAGCTGTTGTAGCTCACTATGATTTTGCTTTTGATTTTCAGGATCTGGGAAGGAAAAAAATTGTGAACTAGCAGTTCATAATCAGATCTGATGTCATAAGTATTTTGCTATTTTGATTTTTTAGGCAGTCATTGCTAATTGAATGTTCAGTTTTTTAGCTATTGCGTGTAGTCATGTACTGTATCATAGATATTTATTTTGTTGAAATGAAAGATACTTGGTGGATGAGTTATTTTTCTTATTTTGAATTGATATTTTAGTAGCTCTATAGTTTGAAATTTATTTCAATGAATATTGGTTAAAAATTTGAAATAATTTCAAAACTAGATCTTAGAATTTGTCTGTTACAACTCAACACGATAGAACATGTCCTAGTCAGGTTGGGTGTGACACGCTCTACATCATAATTTAAATCAATTCAAGATGAATAATAATAAGTGAATATATGTATAATCAAAGTATTATAAGACAAATTTATGGCCTATTTTTTTGGGGGTAATTCGGGGCAAAGCCCATTTATTAAAAACTAAAAGGGGTACAAAAATTCTGTGAAGAATAATAGGAACCAAAGACAAGCAAGAAAATAAAGTCTAAAAAATAAAGAAAACAAAAGAAAATAACACTCAAAAGTCAAAATTTTGGAGGAAACATGTAAAAGCTAGAATAGATACTAAACGTCATAGACAATCTCCAGAAAAACTGCAAGCCCACGCCAGGCTTCAGGATCAAGCTAAATATGCATAGTTACTATACCAAAACAATGAGGGAATTTCCTTTTAATTTGATCAATATTCTTCCAACTGAACGTTTTGTGACAAATAGCTTTCTTAATATTGATAGTGGCTGAATTAGTATTACTCCAATTGTTGGCAAACCGGCGATTAGAGCAGCATACTATAAGAAAGCTGAAGTTCTTCTCCCACTTGGTCCACTGTGGAGTGTTTTTTAAGTGGTCACAAATCTGTAACAAATTTGGTCTTAATAAGAAAGAATTTAAAGAGGGAAGCATGTTATTAATCACACTATTGGAAAAGTCACAATAAAAGAAGAGATGTTTTTGATCTTCCTGAGCCTTGAAACAAAGGAAACATTCCGCTTTCATAGAATTGCCCTTCTAATCAGCAAATCAGCAACCTTCAGCTTCTGCAAAATAGCCATCCAAGTGAATATAGAATATCTGAGAGAGTAATTCTTATGCCAAACAAACTTATGCCAAGTCACCTCCACCAAATTGGAATAATAAGTTTTCATGAAATCCTTAAATTTAGGATTATAAGAGTCCTCCCAAGCCAAGGCCGGTTGCTCTTTTATTTCAATCAAGTTAATTTTCTCACATACCAGGTTAGGCAATTAATCAGGCAGTGCCCAAGAATTATTTCTGATGCTATCCTTCACCAAAAGGCCATGAATTAAGTAATTAGTAGGAAAAAAATCCACCAGCACAGAGCCATTGCACCAGGGGTCCTAGAAAAAAGAGAAATTGGAAGTTGAATTAATTTGTAATGTCAGGTGCCTCTTAGTTTTGTTAGCAGAATTTCAAATATTTTTCCAGAGCTTAGAAACTCTCACAGGCGCTGGCTTCCAGAGAGAAACATACTTGGTTCTAAACCAAGTACTAATTAACGAATCCCGAACAAGCAACCTCCAAATAAAAGAGCAGTAGACAGAAAAATAAAGGGAATCTATAGTAGGAATCCCCAAACCCACCTTCATAGGAATAGTAATTTTATCCCAAGAGATCAAGTGAATCTTCTTCCCATTGATATTCCCATGAAATAAGAATTTAGAACACAGCTTAGAAATAGTTTTGTAAATAGTTTTAGGTATTATAGAACCTCTTATCCAATAGGATAAGGTATTAGAAATAGTAAATTTAAGGAATTGAACTCTACCCGCAATAGACAAAAATCTGACCTTCCAGCCTTCAAGCAAAGAAATTATTTTACTCAAAAGATGCTAAAAATGAAAAGACTTAAGTCTTTTAGAAGAGATTGGGATACCCAGATAGGTGCGAAAAGAGTTAATTTGGGTAATACCCAGGTTATTACTGAATTAATCCGCAGCAACAGCATTATTAGAAAAAATAATCGAACTTTTAGACGGATTAATAAACAGCCCAGACATTTCAGCAAAATTTTTAAGAATTCTATCCAGACCCGTAGCATATTCCTGCACAGCAGGACTAAACACCAGTAAATCATCCCCAAATAGCTAATCATGTAATCCGCAGATAAACTACAAGATAAAGCATCCATCACTAAACAAAATAAAAGGGGAGATAACGAACAACCTTGTCTGAGCCCAGAGGTAGAATCTAAGAAGCCCTCTAAAGAACCATTTAAACAAATAAAAAAAAACACGTCAAAAATGCAACCACGGACCCAATTAATAAAAATATCAGGAAAACCTTTCTAACTCATTCTGTTTAACAAAAACCCCTGGGAAACAGTATCAAAGGCCTTCCTGATATCCAGTTTAGCACATAAAAGGTTGTGGCCAAATTTGAAATCTCTAAGAATAACCGTAGAAAGCAAAATGTTATCAGTAGAAATTCTACTATGAATGAAACCAGCTTGACTTTCATGAATAATGAAAGGTAAGACTAATTTTAATCTGTTAGCCATAAGTTTAGCCACAATTTTTTAAAAAATATTGCATAAGGAAATAGGACTAAAATCATTAATATTGGAAGCATGAGGACCTTTCAGAATAAGAGCGATAGCCATAGCTTTAACCCCTTTTGGGAGATGATCGGTCAAGAAAAAACTTTTAATAGCATTGCATAAATAATGCCCTATGACATGCCAAGTTTTTTCGTAAAACTCGAATGTATAACCATCCGGGCCAGAGGAAGAGCAAGAAGACCCATAAAAAACAACTATCGTAATATCAGCATAAGTAAAGGAGCCTTCAACAATGGCCTTGAATTTAGAATGAAAGAATAACATGAAAGATATGGTATCTTTGTAATTGAACATTAATAGATTTGGTCAATAAATTAATTTTAAAAACATTAACAAA